CCCCAGCCCACAGTGGGGGTGTTTGGCCGCCTGGGCTCCGCGCCCCCCACCTCCCCCTCCCCATCACCGGAGGATGACGACGGCCGCCCGCTGCCCTACGCCGGGGTCCTGAAGAAGCCGCCTCCCCCCCCAGCTCCTCGGGACCCCCCCCCACCATCAGAACCTCCCACCGCCCCCCCGACCCCCTCCGAGGTTCCGCCGCCCCCCCCGGCCCCCCAGGATTGCCGGGTCAGCAGCAGCCGAAGGGGGAGACCCCCCCGTGGGGGGGGGGCGGTGCGGCTGCACCGGGGTTGGGGGGGGCCTGGAGCGCGGATGGACGGCGCCGGGGGGGTCAGCGTGTTCCGCAGGCTGGGCAGGAAGGGGCTGTGACGTCATCGGTCGGCGCCGCGACGTCATCGGTCGGCGCCGCGACGTCATTGGTCGGTGCCTGGGACGTCATTGCTCGGAGGTGTGACATCATCGCGCGGAGGCGGGGTGCCATGGGTGGCGTCAGCGGGGCTGTGACGTCATCGTTCGGTGCTGTGACGTCATCGTTTGGAGCGGTGACGTCATCATGCGGTGTTGTGATGTCATGGCCTGGAGGTGTGACGTCATTGTTTGGTGCCACGACGTCATCGCTTGGAGCTGTGACGTCATCGCTTGGAGCTGTGACGTCATCGCTTGGTGTTGTGGTGTCGACCCTTGGAGGTGTGACGTCATCGTTCGGAGCTGTGACGTCATCGTTTGGCGATGTGATGTCATTTGGTGTGACGTCATCGCTTGGAGCTGTGACGTCATCGCTTGGAGCTGTGATGTCATCGCTTGGAGGCGGGGTGCCATCGGTGGCGTCAACGGGGCTGTGACGTCATGGTTTGGAGCGGTGATGTCATCATGCGGTGTTGTGATGTCACCCCCCGGAGGTGTGATGTCATCGCTTGGAGCTGTGACGTCATCATTCGGAGCGGTGACGTCATCGCTTGGAGCTGTGATGTCATTTGGTGTGGTGACATCATTCGGAGCCGTGACGTCATCGCTTGGAGCAGTGATGTCATTTGGTGCTGTGACGTCATCGCTTGGCGCTGTGATGTCATCGCCTGGAGCTGTGATGTCATCTGGTGTGGTGGCGTCATCATTCGGACCCGTGATGTCATCACTCGGAGCTGTGATGTCATCGCTTGGCGCTGTGACGTCATTTGGTGTGGTGACATCATCGCTTGGCGGTGTGACATCATCGCTTGGCGCTGTGATGTCATCAATCGGAGCTGTGATGTCATCATTTGGCGCCGTGACATCACCCCCTGGAGGTGTGACGTCATCACTTGGCGCTGTGACGTCATTGTTCACAGCTGTGATGTCATCACTTGGAGCGGTGACATCGTTGGAGCTGTGACGTCATCACTCGGAGCCGTGATGTCACTCGGAGCTGTGACGTCATCGCTTGGAGCCGTGATGTCATTTGGCGCTGTGACGTCATCATTCGGTGCCTCGATGTCGTCACCCAGCTCTGAAGTCAGGACTTGGAGCTGTGACGTCATCACTCGGCGTCAGGCCGCCAGCAGTTGCGGCTGTGACGTCATCATGCAGTGCCACGACGTCATGGCTGCCGGCGGTGACATCACTGGGGCCCTGTGATGTCATCGGTGCCCTGTGACGTCACCATGCGGTGCTGTGACGTCATCGTGGGGGGGGGGCAGATGACAGCGGACAATTTTTATCCCCGTTTTGCCCAAAATCGCCGTTTTCCACCCCGATTTTTCTCAGGTTTGGGGATTCCCGTTATTTAACTCCCCCCTCCTCCATTTTCTTCTTCTCCTCTTTCTCCCAAACCGCGGCTTTTCAGCCCAAATTGAACCCAAACCTCCCAGTTTCACCCCCAAACCAAACTTTTCCTTCACCGTTTGCCCGTTTTTCCGCTTCCTTCCCCATTTTAGGGTGGAAAAACCCCAAAATACCGCGATTTCCTGCCGCCTCTTTCCGTTTTTAAGGGAGCTCTTTCTCCTTTAAAGCATTTTTCTCATTTTCCGCTCTTCTTTCCTTCCGTTTTTCTCCCATTTTTTTCCTTTTTCCATTTTTTCGCCTTTTCCCATCAATTTTATTTCATTTTT